TTTTGTTTTTCTAAGGCAAACATTTAAGGGAAAATTCTCTTGTGGACTTCTAGGTTCTCTTTTCCAGGTTCCAGGTATACATTGCTTATCATCTCCTATGTTGTGTTTGTTTTTCACTTCTGCATTCTTACTGGGACTATTTCTCTTCATTCTCAGGTTGGTATAAAAATATATCCATCTGGATCTCTCAGGTTAAATTTGAATCTTGGATTTATCTTCTCTTATTCTTCATAATTGACATTAATTATACCATACATGTTATCTGTGTGAGAAGGTGTGTATTGGTGCATGTGGAAGAGACAGAGAAATGGGAGGGATGGAGGAAATAAACACAGAGAGACAAGAGATTTTTTTATTTCTTTTTTTTTTTTAAGGATTTATTTATTTGAGGTGGTGTAGAGAGAGAAAGAGAGACAAGGGGTAGAGGGATACAATCTCAAGCCAGCTCCCTTATGAGCACAGAGCCCAATGCAGGGCTTGATCTCACAACTATGACATCATGACCTGAGCCAAAATGAGAGTCGATTGTTCAACAATTTGAGCCACCCAGGAGCCCTGATAGAGATTTTCTATAGAAATATGATTATTTGATTATTACAACTACTAATGGAGGCTATAATTTCCAGGAATGCATTTAGTAGTAATTGTGCTCTGTGTGTTTGTTATGTGCAAATATGTAATAAGTCTTTTCAAATTTATAATTAAACAATGAAATGGGTGTTATTGTTACTGTTGCATCATATTAAGGCATAGAGAAATGAAAGACAAAGAAAACAAGTATAAAACCATTTCAAGTTCTTATGTCATGGAGCCAGAATTCAACACAAGTCTGACAACGGAAACAGATTTCTTTAACTGGAATACTGGGTATTTTCTCATGACTGGTCTTGGGGGGAAAAAATCTATATTTACTGGTAATTTATTTTGAAATACAGAGTGATACAACGTGGGAAATCTGTGTGTGTATTTTTGCCTTTAGATGGTGAGGAAAGCCCTCTAAGTGCTAATGAGGTCCCCCAATCATCTACTTTTTTCCAGACCTCATTCTTTTTAAGATCAGGTCTAACTACTCCCCTTTCCATGATGTCACCATTGCTCTCTATCAGCGGGCGAACCACCTCTCAGCTGTTCACATATGTAGCTTTTGCGAAGTCCATTCACCACTGTCTTTTATACCATTTCATATGCTGCATCTTTCTTGATACTATGGGAGCAGTTCTGAATTTCCAAGTAAGAATTCTTCTGTTGCTAACTTTTGAAAAGCACAGGCTGCCACAAGCATATCCTGTTGATTCAGAGATCAGTCTGATATGTTGATGTGTTTGTTATCATTTCTCAGATTAGAACGTCTCCTCATCTTTTTATTTCCTCTGTCACCTACAAGAGTGTTTAAAACATATTTGCATTAATTTCTTTTGTGTATGAACCTGTCCAACTTTCAAGATCCAATTACTTCTTGTTGAAGGATTTCATCTGTCCCAAAAGTTTTATACATATAAACAGGTGTGTGCAAGTATGTATATATATATATGTGTGTGTGTGTGTGTGTGTATACACACACACATATATATATATACATACTTGAACATAGTAGTCAATAATATATAGTACATATACATATATGTACATATATATACATATATGTACATATATATACATATACATATATATACATATATACATATATATATATATACATATTGAACATAGTAGTCAATAATATATAGTAAATTATATGTTAGAAGTGCCAAAGAGTCCACATCCAGGGAATATGTATACACACACACACATATATATATATACACACACACATATATCTGTGATCTGTTCTATATGATTTTTTTTTCTCCTGTTCCTGTGGACCGTAGATGAGAACAAGCAGGTCACAATAATATGGCTGCACATTTGAGATAAATACTCAAAACACATTTCCTCCCCTTCTCAGACCCTTGAAGAGCATATCCAACCAGAGAACATAGCAACACGCTACCGACCATATATCCAACAAAGAAGGGAAATACTCTGTAAAGTTCTCATCCTGTATGATAATTGATTTTTCTCCCCAAAATGCAAACAATTGTTTTTAGGGCTGGAACACAAGGCTACAAAACAGGTCATAATTTTAGTGGATGTAAATGCTTAGGATTAATTTAAAATTAGGTTCATGTCAGAACAATTGCACAGAAGTTCTACAGAAAACAATAGCAATAGGAGGGACTCACCAATCACGGGTAATAGATACAGGCATGGTAGCAGTTTGTAACATAGTTACTGGACCCTGTCCAGAGAGAATCAGCACTGCCCATCATAGTCACTTAACTTCCAGTTGAAATGCAACTGATTTATGATTTTGTGTGCACAGTTTATCTTTATGGAATTTGTGTCAGTGCTACACATGGTTACTGTGTATATTTGGGAAAATTTGTAATAACCAACTCAAAACAAAATATATGTTCATATTACTACTTTCTATTCTGTGATTTATGTCATCTTTTATTTCTTAGACCCAAAAATATATTTCTTTAAAAATTATAATTAAACTTTTGTGACAAGAGTGATAAATTGGTAGGTGAGAAATTTTGGCCGATGTCTTAGTACACATACTGTGAATAGTGAGTGAGCCATCACACAGCAGTTTGCTTAGTCTTTAATTTAAATGAAACTCTGCTTTGTGCATAATGGATTGATGTTCAACTCTAATTCAATGTGATCACATGCATTCTCAAAATTTAATTTATCCCTGTATATCTATGTATGCTTCAGTCTAAATGATCATGTCCACTTGATCCCTGGAAAACTCTCCTGGGGAGAATGAGTCCCATAAATGTTGCATGAGGCCTTAAGGCTAGGGGTGGATAGGGGAAGACACAGATATTACATGGAAACGGTGACATTCTGTATATCACAAAACAAAGGATTTTAGAGATAGACTTATTAAGTCTGTGACAGGTTTTTCTGCCTATCCAAAAATATATTTTCCAAAGCAGTTTATCCAATTTGAGATAACTTGAACTACTATTTTTCTTTAAAATGTTTAAGCCATTCCAAAATCCCTCAAGTTTTCAGGAATTTTCCTGAGACTCTGGAGCCAAATAATCTCAATCCAGTCTGCTTTGGTTGGTAGAAAATTTTTCTTTCTATGTGGGGTGGGTGGAAGTTAACTCTGTGGATAAGAGTCTGTTTGTTTTCATTATGGCCAGAAATGTGTCTTTCTGCCTGCTCTTATCTTTTCTGGTCACTACCCAGTGATAACAATGGATAGGGTCCATCAAACTGTCTTAAGCAAAGTGTAATGCTGGAGGTTAAAACAAGGGTATTGGAAAAAGGCACTGGCCCTAGAAATGACATTTAGCCATTGGAGAGCACAATATAACACCATATCCAACAAATTCATTGCGCTGTTGAAAAACTATCTCAGGATTCCTGTTGAACCGAAGTACACTCTGTATTCTACAGAACCTGAATGTTCATTGATACTGATGGAAGCTCTCTCTCTCATTTTCTCTTTACCTTTCTCATTTTCAAGCTGAGTAAATGCTAGCCTCATTGGTATAACAGAAGTCTTTCCAACAGAACTTCTCATAGTTTAAATTTATAGGTAGATTGTGTATCTCCAGGAGACTGATAGGATACGAAGAATTCTCTTTATTGGACAAATGAGCAATTGTGGATTTTTCTCCATAATACCTATTAACATCATGCAAGGCAGTAGTGTGTTTTCAGGAAAATAATTTGTGCATTTTTTTGTCGGGGAAAAGGTTTCTATGACAAACCTATACATTTGTAAAATAAACATTTGAAACTAAATAAATTGAAAATAAGTTTGCAAAATACCCAAGAAACTTTCCCAGAACTCCACTGGATCTCCAAAGTAGAGTGAATCATTCCCTACTTTCTGATTCCCCTATAACTCTGTAAAAATATATTATGGTTGTAGAAAGTTTGTTTGCAAAATTCCACTATAAGTGGTGACATTAATACCTTTGTTTTACATTTGTTTGAATCTCCAGAACATAGTAGTCAATAATATATAGTAAATTATATGTTAGAAATGCCAAAGAGTCCACATCCAGGGAATATGTATAAATCTATGAATGTGTATAAGTAATTTTTCCCTTTATACCTGCCTTTGATGACCAGTGTGATCTGTTTGTCCCTCTTCAATTTAAATGGGGACAAGCATGAGATTAGATTAAAAATAATATTTTCTCTAACACTTAGGGCTGGTAAATTACTTGATTAAGTGGCTTCCACCCTAATCATGAAGAATATGCCTGTAATGAAAAAGTGATGAGGTAAAAAATTATTTTTACATTGGGTTAAAAAAAAGAATTATAACCCTTCATGAATACACTAAAATATGAAAGTACCACACATGCCAGTATTGGAAACAACAGATACTTAGGAAGTAGTCTTGGAAGTTGGGCTAAGCATAATATTTAGTATTAGTATGTTCCAACCACAGTATTTGGTATAACCATTATGTATTAGGACATCTCAGTGACTTTCAGAGTCTGCTACATAACAAGTCCTCAGAAAAGATTTGCTATAAGGAAAAGCAAAGTGTATTAATAGGGAGTGAATAAAGATAGAAAAAAGGGATTGAGATACTGGGGTGGCTCAGTCCATTAAGTGTTTGCCTTGGGCTCAGGTCATGATCCCAGGGTCCTGGGATCGAATTTCACATCAGGCTCCCTGCTTAGCAGGGGCTTGTGCTTCTCTCTGTGTCTGCTGCTCTACCGGCTTATGCTCACATTCTCTCTGACAAATAAATAAAATCTAAGAAAGAAAGAAAGAAAGAAAGAAAGAAAGAAAGAAAGAAAGAAAGAAAGAAAGAAAGAAAGAGGAAGGAAGGAAGGGAGGGAGGGAGGAAGGAAGGAAGGAAGGAAGGAAGGAGCATGGATAAAGAGATACATTAATAAATAAACAACACCTCCTTTAAACTTTATTTCCTTTTAGTTACCACTGAGAATTCTAACCCATGTTGACTTAGAGATGAGAAAATGCTCAATTTCACCGATGTGACAGAGTTTATTCTTTTGGGACTAACCAGTCGTCAGGAATGGCAAGTCCTCTTCTTCATCATTTTTCTTATGGTCTATGTTGTCACCGTGGTAGGCAATATTGGCATGATCATGTTAATTAAGGTCAGTCCACAGCTTAACAGCCCCATGTACTTTTTCCTCAGTCATTTGTCATTTGTGGATGTCTGGTTTTCTTCCAATGTGACCCCCAAAATGTTGGAAAATCTGTTATCAGAAACAAAAACTATTTCTTACGCCGGTTGTTTGGTACAGTGTTTCTTCTTCATTGCCCTCGTCCATGTAGAAGTTTTCATTCTTGCTGTGATGGCCTTTGATAGGTACATGGCAATTGGGAAACCTCTGCTGTATGGCAGCAAAATGTCTAGGGTGGTCTGTATGCGACTGATTTCTTTCCCTTACATATATGGTTTTCTGACTAGTCTGGCTGCAACCCTGTGGACATATGGCATGTCCTTTTGTGGGAATATTGAGATCAATCACTTCTACTGTGCAGACCCACCTCTCATCAAAATGGCATGTGCTGGGACTCTAGTAAAAGAATATACAATGACCATTCTTGGAGGCATCAATGTGACATATTCTCTGGCTGTGGTGACTATTTCTTATCTGTTCATTCTCATTGCCATTCTACGGATGCACTCAGCGGAAGGGAGGCGAAAGGCCTTTTCCACCTGTGGCTCCCACTTGACAGCAGTCATCATATTTTATGGGACACTCATGTTCATGTATCTCAGGCCACCCACAGATGAGTCCTTGGAGCAGGGGAAAATGGTGGCTGTGTTTTACACCACAGTGATCCCCATGCTGAATCCCATGATCTACAGTCTGAGGAACAAGAGTGTGAAAGGAGCCATGAGTAAAGTGATCAGGAGAACATGTTTAACAAAATAAAATTCTGTTAATACTGTCTGTGTGATTCATAAGCATTTGTCAACAAAAGGTGATCCAATGTATTACTTAAAGACTTTTTACAAAAGGTATTTCATGCATTAAAAATAAAAAAAAGAGATAAAGGCTCAAAATGGGAGAATAAAAGGAGGTAGATCCATCTCTGTTGAAGTAAGTAGTGAGGATTAATTAAAACTTGAAAAATTAATTCATTTAAAAGGTTGTTGGAACCAGTGTTCACAAGTGCACTAATTGAAATTGTTCAAATACTTAGCTAGAATGAAAAGATTTTGTGTTTCTTATTACAAAAAATGGGATGAATGAGATTGGGAAAAACTTACTAATCTAAATATTTGGAGATTAAATTGGAACAGAAAAAAATGACATAGTTTGCTTAGTTTTCTAGAATGGTGATACAAAAATGTGGGTCTCAGTTCATTCCATTATCAAAACATTCTGTGTATCTCCATTACAGACTATAGGACTTTGCTAGAGCAAATACCACAGACTGGGAGGCTTAAACATCAGAAAGTTAATCTTCACCGTTCTGGAGGCTAAAAGTTGAAGGTCAAAGTGCTAGCAATGCTGGTTTTTTGAGTACTCCTTTGGTTTGTGGAAGTTGCTATCTCCCTGTACTTGTCATGGTCCTCACTTTGTATATGTCTTTGTCTACTCTCTTCTTCTTATAAGGAATCCAGTTATCGTGGATTGAGACCTAGTCCTAGGACTTCATTGTACTTTGATTTTCTCTTTAAAGACCTTACCTCCGAATATAGTCACATTCTAAAGTAGGGGGAGTCAGAAATTTGACATATGGTTTTCAGAGAAACATGATTCAGCCCCCAATGCAAAGTAACATGGTAATAGAATTGTGACCCAAAGTTGGAACAGTGCTGTAGAAGAAACTGTCTCAGAAAATTGGATTAAGTTGAAAATCAACCTGGGAAACAGGATGCAATCAGCATCCTGGAAGCATCCCCAGAAGACATCATTGTTACTGGAAAGACTTTCCAATGTATGAAGGAAAATACTGAGCCTGAACATAAAGGAGGAAAACCCTATACAGTGGTGAGTTCCAAGGTTTAATGTTCACTGTGCCAGTTGTATTTCTCCAGAGGACTCATTCAGTGAAAAAAAAAAAAATAGATCTAACAAAGTAATTGCCTCCTCTTCACCTATTTGTGCAATCTCTTAGGGAAATGGAGTGAACAAACAAGTAATATAAATTCTGCCTGCATTAGTCACCAGAAGAGTCACTGATATTCTTTATAAAGGCAGTCCCTTCCCTGTAGCTAAGTAGGTTTCTTTATTCTGGGATTGTGTATAACCATAAAACTCTGTTACTTATTTGGGCAATCATATTCATTATCAAAATTAAATTTATGATTTATAAATAACTACTTGGAATGAAAAATGTCTATTACCAGTAAGGTGCAAACATTTAGGACTTCCAGTACTGTTATTTATAGAACTTGTCAAGTAATGAGCCTAGAAGATAAGGGAATCAGAATACAATATTCTCTAGAATTCGTCACTTCACATGACAGAGAGCTAACATTTATTGAGGGCTTGATACGGATTGTTCACAGTGCTATGCATAGAACATACTTTATTTCATGTACTCTTTGAAATAGTCCTGCCCATTTATAAAATCCTGTTTGCAGTAGAAAAAACTGAAACTCCAAAATATTAAGAAATATTCCCAGTTTAGTTACATCAAAGTGCTAAGGCTAGAATGTAAACTCAACCAGTTGAATACAGAACACATGTTTTTTTTGTTTTTTTGTTTGTTTGTTTTTGTTTTGTTTTGACTTTTTAAATCAGAAATGGGACTGTGTATAATATTATCCTGTATACCAAACTTGAGAAAATTCCCATTATCCATAATAAGGACCAAATGCAATGGGGTTGTGTAATGGTTAAACGAATTAGTATTTATAAAACACTTGAGTCAGAGCTTGGACTATAAGACACACTGATGTCCGTGCTTTATAAATATTAACTGATTTCACCCCTCAAAGCAATCCTATGGCATTCTGTTCCTTAGAATTCATCTTCAAAGAGTAGTTTTTGTGGGATATTCTTGAGGAATATAGATGACTTCCATATGTAGAAAAATAAACATGGACATTTTAGATAGTATTAAGAGTCTGAATTTTTTTTCTTTCAAGCAACAGAAGCCAGTTCTAGCTGTTCAACCAAAAAGAAACTGTACTGGCCCCCAAACTTTTTCTAAACCTTTTTCCTAAGTTACAGGAGGCAATTGATGATGAAATGAGAAATATGGTACATCAAAGGGGAACATTACTTTTTTAAAACTTTTAATAATTTTTTTAAAGATCCAAATATAAGTAGTGAAATTTCATTATAGAAATTTACATGACTAACCATGAGAGACTGTGGACTCTCAGAAACAAACTGAGGGTTTTGGAGCAGGGGGGTTGGGTGAGCCTGGTGGTGGGTATTAAGGAGGACATGTATTGCATGGAACATTGGGTGAGGTACATAAACAATGGATTTTGGAACACTGAAAAAAAATTAAAAAATAAAAAAATCTACATGACTGCACTTGTCATTCATTTTGCTAACTAGTTATTTTAATTTCTTTGCAATTTGTGCACATGATGGCATTATATTTCTCTTGTTTTGGGTTTAGGTGGAAGTATTTCTAGACAATGAGTTAGATTAGAATTCATACATATCACTTCTAAGTTGAGCATTTAATTGTTCGTGAGAAAACCCTTCAGTGTTATTTTTTTTTTCCTTGTCCTGGTGACCAGCAATATTTAAAATTTAAGATGTAAGAATGGGTTCTTAGGTGAGGACATGTGGAAAAGCTCCCTCCACCAACTCATACTAGAAATGTGGGATGGATGAGAAGTGCCCTCTGTCTTAGAAGATTTTATATATATATATATATAGAGAGAGAGAGAGAGAGAGAGAGAGATTTAAAGATTTTATTTATATAACACACAGAGATCACAAGTAAGCAGAGAGGCAGGCAGAGCAGGGGGAGGGGTAGTCAGCAGGCTCCCTGCTGAGCAGAGAGCCCGATGTGGGGTTCCATCCCAGGACCCTGAGATCATGACCTGAGCTGAAGGCAGAGGCTTTAACCCACTGAGCCACCCAGGTGCCGTGTCTTACAAGATATTATCATATGTTGAGTTACTTATTTCCATGGCAGGGAGTACCCTCTTCTGACTGATGCTACAGTAACTATACAAAATTCAAACATGTGAATGCATATAATGGAAATTAAACACTACAACCTTCAAAAAATCAAATTTGAGATTTTGTTTTTAGTTTTTTTTTTCCTGTTTCTACATATGTGCATGTTTTCAGTTAAAATATCTTATTGTAATTATTTAAAATTATTAATGTAAAGCATATATGTTGTTTAAAATGTCAAATAGTTCTACAGGCTTATACATACTCCTGTCTCACTTCTCCCCTCCCTATCTCTCCACAGATAAACAACTTCTTACTGTCTTTGGGCATTAACCCATTTTAAATTATAGGCTTATGTGTCTATTTATTGATTTTCAAATATGTGCATGATTGGTTGGTATCTATTTACTAAGGTTAAAGTATAAAACTTCATCTTCCAATCCCTGCATCCCTACCCAAGAACCATCAGTTCTCCTCATCTTTCCAATATGGTTGCATTTGAAGTTTTTCTTTAATTGATACATGTGGTTAAAATAACTCTATCACTAGTAATACCTGAAGAAAATAACATGAGGGACACTATGAACATTATGAATACTAATTACCAAGACTATGAGTAATATTATGAATGTAACCCTCTTCTGGTACAATTATTTGACTTTCAGAGTTACTGGGTGTTTTTACTTTTGCTTTTTAAAATTATTATTTCTTGCCAAACTTCGACAGAACTAAGAAATACCTCTTATAGAGACAGACCAATAGGTGGCCTATAATTTACACATCTTCTCCCTGGAAACTTTCTGTCCTTGTGGTGGATTCTGAAGTGGTTGCTCTCTAGGTGTTTTACAGAGCTGTTATCTGGAGATAGTGATTGCTAGTCTTGGTGTAAAATGTCTCTTTCATCCAACCTATGTTAATTCCTGGGCAAAATGCTACAAACTAGAAACTAAGGAATACACAAGGCAGGAAACATCCTTCATTATGTTTTAGAGGTGGGGGTATTTCGATACCAAGGATGCACACAAACAGATAATAAAATATTTTAGGCAATTTTAAGTACAATGGAGAAGGTAAAGCAAAGCAATGTGGAAGACAGTGACTTGCAGCTTCAGAAGTGAGGGTTGTGTTGATATGTCATTTCAGGGGCTGGGAAAAGACCCTTGGAAAAGGTGACACTTTGAATCCAAGCCTTTTGGATCAGAAGAAGACAAACATACACAGATTGTTGGGAACTGTAACCTGGAGAATCACTAACAAGTATAAAGTTTCAGGATGAAACTTTCTGTGTCTTCAACTGGCATGTTGAAGACACAGAAGGAAAGCCATGTGGCTGGAGCATAATAAATGGGAGAAACAATGGGAAAAGCTGATGCCAAATAAGTGGTTCCCTTCTTTACTGGAAGGCACTGTGCATTGTCATACTTGACAAGGCAAACAGACTGCACCAGTTTGTGTTCATGTCCACACTTTGGTTGCTGCCATGTGTTAGGTGGCCCATGGTGCCTCGGGTAAGACAGAATGGGAAGTAGTAGTTTGGTTCATTGAGTTTTTTCTTTTTTTAAAATTAATATTGTGTTAAGTCAGCAAAGATCTGTTTATGGAACACTTAATGCACTTTACGCTACCCAGCTCCAAGGGTCTTGCACACATTTCTCTATGTAATTTACAATTTAGCTGAAAGCTTGTTGACTGATACATGTTCCAAATAATATTTCTTTCTAGGTTATCATTGTTAAGCATTCTATCCAGGTTATGATAGTTAATATTATACAATTATCAATTATATATATATATACATACTAGACAAGGAAGAAGGAATTCAGAAGTAAATAGTA